AAGCAAAAGCTCGGGTGCGAGGTATTCAGGGGTACCACAGAACGCTGTGTAGAAGGTTAGACGAATTCAGGTTGGAAGCAGGGGTAATCTTACTGTTTGTGCGATCCTCATCCTTCATGTCCAACTTGCACAGACCAAAGTCGCACAGAGCAATGTGGCCAGTGTAATCCAGAAGAATGTTTTCAGGCTTGAGATCACGGTAGATGACCTTGAAACCGTGCAGGCACTCCAGCGCACAGAGCAGCTCGGCAGTGTAAAAACGGGCCCGGTTGATATCGAAGCGCTGCTCACGCTGAAGGTGATGGAACAACTCACCGCCGTTGACGAAAGCAAGGACGAGGTACAGTTTCTCCGGAGACTGGAAGGAGAACTTGAGAGGGACGATGAAGGGGTTGTTGATTTGAGAGAGCACGGATCTTTCGGCGAGGGTGTGGGTGACTTCCGACCGTGAGATGATGTGCGCCTTGCGGATAGTCTTGAGGGCGTAAATCCGACCCGTATCCTTCTTCATGACCTGCATGACCTTGCCGAAACTACCCTTACCCACAACCTTCAGCAACTCGAAGTCTTCCAGCTTCATGCTGCGCTGCTTGTTCTCGACGAAGGAGACACCAATCTTGATGGAACCGGTACCGAACTGCATATCCAGCCATTCGGCGCCCAGCTGGCCCAGCTGGCGCTCCTGCGGCGTCTTCTTGGACTTGGGGTCTTCCGCATGGGGCTGAGCCTCTTCGAAACGAGGATGTACCTTGACGGCGCCGAGGAAGATATCCTCGCTGCGACCAGCGCCAGGACGAGCTGTGGGGTTCCGCAGATACAACTGAACGTTCAATTCCGTCTTGCGCGACACATCAAACTTATAAGCCGTGTTGTCTCCAGCCCACAGGGGGTTTTCGGGGGAACCAGAAACGGCGTCGACGAAGACTTGGTTCTTTTCGAAATCCAGAAGGGCATAGGGGAGGTACTTGGTCGAATAGCGACCGTGGGAAGTCGGAGCGGCATTGATACCTCCGCTGGTGGATTGCGGGCGACCGCTGGGGACGTAGGAGGCGGCCTGTCCGTGTGCAGAGTGGGATGACGAAGAGCTTGGACGCATGCCATAGGAACCGCTGCTCTGGAAATGGGAGTTGAAGATCTGTTGGTAGTGGGGGGAAAGAGAGAAGCCTCGACCTTCGTGGAGGGTGACGATCAGGATTCCGGGCTTGACAGGGGCCACGGGCGGGGAGACGAGCGACTCCGAGGCATCTTTAAGAGAGTGTTAGACGGTCGGCAGAGAATTGAAGAGAAGAGGAACAACATACTGATTCCATTGGAGTTTGTTGTGGAGATACTGGGGGTTTGCGAAACAACGGGGGTCTCTTCGCCAGAATCACCTTTGATGGTGGATGTGGAGGAGGATCGGGTGAATGTTTGGGTCAAAGGAGCCAAGTGCGTCTCCTTTAGTTCTGTATGAGGGAATTAATTCATTAGCATCCGATATGCCGGGACAAAGGAAACACAACCGGGCATAAACATCGCACATACTTCTAGTGAGTTTCCACGACATTGTCATAGGGATGTTCTAACAAGCGAATCCAGGGTGTGTATATGTTTGGAGAAAGGGAGAAGAGGGAGAGGAAGGAAACAGGAAAAGAGAGGATCAATTTGAACAGTCTTCCGACGGTTTTAAGGAAGAGAAAAAGGAGAGAGGAATAGGAGGCCAACAACTGGGTCGGAGGCCTGGCAGAGAAGAAGGGCAAAACGAGCCAGACCAGTCAAGTGCAGTGATAATATGCAGAACCGCCACAGCCACAGCGGTCAGTCAGCGACACAGAAAAACGAGAGAGGAGAAGAGAGGGAGGGAGAGAGGAATGAGGAGGGCGAGGGCAAGTAAGTAGTAGTAGTAGTAGTAGTAGTAGTAGTAGTAGTAGTAGTTTCAGGAACCACCGATCGGGGCGGGAACAGGGGAACACCCGCAAACTGTACAAGACGCTTGAAGAACAAACGAAATGATGATGGAAGTAGAACCAGGGTCGGGGACACGATGCAACGACGAGAAGGAGGATCGACCCGGAAAGTGACTTTTTTAGGGAGAGACAGTTGATAAGGCGAATTTGGGGGGGAAAGAATTGGGAAATGGGGGGAGGAGGGGGGGGGGGGGGGGGGGGAGGAGAAAGGGAAGAGGGGGTGAATGATTGAAGGTGGGAAAGGGACTGAGCGAGGCTGAACTCTGAATAGAATAAGTCGCCGCCACTCCGTCCTTCATTGGTCCAGGAACCCCGTTGCCTGAATGTGTGCCTGGGGCATGAATCTTTGTCACCCTGAGGCGGTGCATTCCCAGATCGTAGTCTAGTCCCGATAAAGTAACCACCAAGTGCACTAGCCTCAGAGCTTAGCCACCGCCCACCCCCCCAGAACCTCGAATCGTCCGTCCGCCGATACGCGACCAGTCTCCTGTTCACTACAAACTGCTACTATCACAATCCCTTCAGCCACCCCCAGAAACCTTGTTGGTATTACGGTTCTTGTCTGTGCTGGATCGACTTTTTTGGGACCAACCTGACGTTGAGCCCTCAAGGTTACTCCACCCTAGTTTCCCCGGCATTTCCCCCCCGCTCATCGACTGCGGAGACGTACATCCCTTTGCGCTACCGTCGTTCTCCGGACCATCACCTTCATACCCGACGCGCATCACTCTTTCCTCATTAGTTCCAAATTGCCCTCTCATTTCACTGGAGGGCGTGTCGGTGTGGTCGAAACGGATCCGGGAACATTGGAGGATGAAAGGGACCCGCGACCGATGGGTGTAATACGGAAGAAGACCGCCTCGCGCGGCACTGAAGCGGGCACCAAGTATCACTGTGATATCTGCTCGGTTGATGTGACTTCAACGGTACAGTCTGCGATCCGTGTTTTAAAAATCTTCGCCTCTTGTCGGCCTTAAACCTAATTTATCGGTCTCTTACTAGGTTCGCGTATCTTGCGCCCATCCCGCCTGCCACGAATACGATCTCTGCGTCCCCTGCTTCGCTGCCGGAGAGAAATCCAAGAACCATGACCCGTCCACGCATCCATTCCAGGTGATCGAACAGAACTCGGTCCCGATTTTCGAGGAGGACTGGGGTGCGGACGAGGAGCTCCTGCTGCTGGAAGGCGCCGAGATCTACGGACTGGGATCATGGGCGGACATTGCAGACCACATTGGTGGTTACCGCACCAAGGAGGAGGTTCGCGACCACTACATCAGCGCCTATATCGATAGCCCGAACTTCCCGTTACCGGAACGCGCCGATCCGGACGACAAGCGCCTTTCGGAGGCCATTTCGAAGGAAGAATTCCAGGCGCGGAAGAAACGCCGCATTGAAGAGCGCAAAGAGGCGGCCAAGGCAGCTCCACCTACAACACCGAAGCAGAAGCCTACTGCCAGTGTACCGGCTTGTCACGAAGTGCAGGGCTACATGCCGGGTCGATTGGAGTTTGAGACAGAGTTCATGAACGAAGCCGAGGAAGCGGTGCAGCACATGACATTTGAGCCTGGCGCGGGCGAGACGGCGAATGGCGAGACAGACGCGGAGATGGAATTGAAGATGACCGTGGTGGATATCTATAACTCGCGGCTTACGGCGCGCACGGAGCGCAAGAAGATCCTCTTCGAGCACAACCTCCTCGAGTACCGCAAGAACACGGCACTGGAGAAGAAGCGCACGAAAGAGGAGCGCGACTTGCTGAACAAGGCGAAGCCGTTTGCCCGGATGATGAACCACGATGATTTTGAAGAGTTTAACAAGGGTCTCGAGTACGAGCACAACCTGCGGCTAGCCATCACGCAGCTCCAGGAGTGGCGCCAGATGGGCATTGGTGATCTTAAAGGTGGAGAGAAATACGAACAGGAGAAGCAACAGCGGGCACAGCGGATGGTGCCGCAGGGCTCGTTTGATCGGTTCGCCAGCACGCGACCGACAAAGCAGTCGCAGCAACCAGAACAGCCGTCCGCTGCCAGCCAGCTGACGACCCCAGAGCTTCCTCTCCGGCTACAAAAGGCGTCCGGGGCGCCTAAGGCACCAGAGCCTGTCAACCCGCCGATGAATGATTTTGATCGGGCGTTTGCCGCCACCAATGGCGACGGGATCAGCACGCCGCAGCCAGTGAAGACCAAGTTTGTGATCCAGCCACTGAATGGAGTGATTCCGTGGAAGCTGGAGAACGAGGGAGCACCGGATCTGCACCTGCTGACCAAGGAGGAGGTCGAGGTGTGCAATGTGTTGCACATGCAGCCCAAGCCGTACCTAGTAATTAAGGAGACGTTATTGAAAGAGGCGATGAAGCAGGGCGGCAGTTTAAAGAAGAAGGACGCGCGAGCTATTTGCAAGGTAGCCCTCCCACCCTCTTTCTCCTCTGCCAGCAAAAAAAGAGTGAAATGGAATACTGACAAAGAACTCTACAGGTCGACAGTACCAAGACGAGTCGGATCTACGATTTCATGGTACACAGCGGCTGGATCAACAAGAGCTGAGCGTCTGATTTGCATGAGCAGGATACCACGTGGTTCTGTGTAAGGAGTTGCGGCGTTGTGAGGTAGATGATACGATTTACGGGTTTGATTAAGTGATTAAGTAGATGGACATATAGTTTATCTATACAAGGGACAAATATTAATCCTTCAATTAACTATAAAGTGAACAGACTTTATTATATTCTTTGAGACTTCCATGTAGCTACTACAGTCGACCATAAAACAAGAGACAATAATCGGAACCGATACCCACCGACTAACCACAGAACCAGTCTAGCGGCAAAAGTCCGTCTTCTCCGCATTCCAATCTAACCACTAACCAGCTTACCTTAGTATAACATCCGACCGAACCTCGGCATCATTTAAAGACCCGTAATCAATCAATCAAACACCTTTATAACAACACCACTCTCCCTTCTCCATCCAATTCCACCTACCTTAAACCCATCCCCCTCACCATACCCAAATCCATTTAACATCCAAAAGAAGGAAATAAAAAAAAAAGAAAATGGCACCAACCCTCCCCACCCCCCCTTCAAACACAATAACCCTCTCCCTCCCCCACCCACACGTCCTCCTAGTCACTCTCTCCCGACCCAAAGCATTAAACAGCATTTCCACCGCGGGCCACCACGACCTCCACGCCATCTGGACCTGGATGGACAATGAGCCCTCAATAAGAGTAGGCATATTGACCGGCTCCGGGAGGGCGTTTTGCGCGGGCGCAGACCTCAAAGGTAATACCCCCCCCTAACCCCATATCCCCCTCAATCCTCCACTACATCTCCCCCTCAACATAATACTCATGATACTCATATATAAACACAGAATGGGACTCCACCGTCCAAACCCCCTCCTCATCCACCACCACCCCAGCCATGCCCCCCAGCGGCTTCGGGGGCCTCTCCCGACGGAGCGGCAAAAAGCCTATCATCTGCGCGGTGAACGGGCTCTGCCTGGGGGGTGGATGCGAGATGGTGCTCAACGCCGACATGGTGATCGCTTCTTCTAAAGCGTATTTCGGGTTGCCGGAGGTGCAGCGTGGGGTGGTAGCGTGGGCGGGGGCGTTGCCGCGGTTGGGGAGGATCGTGGGACGACAGAGGGCGATGGAGATGGCGTTGACGGGGAGGAAGGTGCCTGCGGAGGAGGCGGAGAGGTGGGGGATTGTGAATGAGGTTGTTGGTGATGATGGTGGGAAAGGGGTGGTGGAGAGGGCGGTGGAGGTTGCGGTGCAGATTGCGGGGAATAGTCCTGATGCGGTGTTGGTTAGTCGGGAGGGAGTCAAGTTGGGGTGGGAGGGGATTGGGGTTGAGGAGGCGACGGGGTTGTTGATGGAGGGGTGGTCGGACAAGTTGAATCAGGGGGAGAATATCAGGGAGGGTTTGAGGGCGTTTGTGGAAAAGAGGAAGCCCGTCTGGAGGGATAGTAAGTTGTAAATAATAGGTTAAGACTTATATCGGCTACTGTTTATGAGAGACCTGGCATAGGTTCATGTTCAGTCATGTAGTATTCGTGCTAGTTGCCTGCAACTATGTACATCATTATCATGTTATGACTATGCTAATCCGTTTCCATACCCATGCTCCATATCCGCGCCGACCAGTGTTCGCCGTATCCCAGATGGCCTGTCACCGTCCTGCGGTGTGGCCAGTTGTACATGCAGGTGATCGACTCGGAATGCTTTCGCAGTTTTCGTAATCGTAATCGTGAACATTAAAGAAGACAGTGTGCAACAACAGCAATGCCTTTACTTCGTCCCCTGCTGCACCTTGCGCACCCGCTCCAGCACGGCAGGATACAGAGGGTGTTTCTCTTCCAGGCCGGTGAGGTTGCTGGTGGCATCTTCCGCCGACTGTTCTTGAAGGATGTTGGCGAGCTCGGCACTCTCGTCGTCACCAGGCACGTTCTGGAAGCGCAGAGCCATCTCGACAGCGTCCATCAAAGAGTCATACTTCATGCCGCGCTCGGCGAGCTGTGAAGCCGGTCCAATGAAACGCTCCTTGCGAGACAGCTTGCGCAGGGGAGCACGACCCACGCGTTCGACATTGTCCTCCAGATAAGGGTTGGAGATGCGGCTGACGATCTTATCGACGTACTCCTTCTGCTCCTCCTCTGAGATGTCGTGCTTGGCCACGATGAGTGAGGCAGTCTCCTCAAGAACCTTGTGAACAAGTCCACGGATCTCCTTGTCCTCCAGAGCGTCGGCAATCATTTTCTTGCCCCGGAAGTGACCAAAGTAGGCGGTAGTAGCATGTCCGGTGTTGACAGTGAACAATTTGCGCTCAATGTATGGCTCCAGATTGTCGACCCAGTGGATGGCAGGAATGTCTGGGTGGCCAACAGAGCCAAAGGGTGTCTTCTCGACAGCCCATTCGTAGAACTTCTCAATGCGGACATCGAGGCCACTGTTGGGAGCTTGCTGAGGGACGATGCGGTCAATGGCAGAGTTGGCAAACTGGGCCCGGTCGTACAGGGACTCAACGCGGTCCTGGCTGGTGTGCTGCTTGATGAAGCCGTGCAGGGTGTCGGTAGCACCAATGGCATTCTCACAGGCAATAACAGCGACAGGCTTAGACTCTGTGCGAGCATCGATACCCTTGGCAATGACAGGGGCGATGAACTTGAGAATGTTGGGGCCCACAGCACAGGTCACGACATCAGCTGTAGCAATCTCTTGGATGACGTCGCTCTCATGGGTCTTGGAGTTGATGGCACGGTAGTTGGTGATGGTGGTGGTGTGCTCACCCTCCTCACTGACCTCAGTCACATTGTACGACTTGTTCTGCTGCAGAGCCTCGACCATCTTGTCCATGACATCGACGAAGACTACTTCGTAGTCCGCCTTGTGGAGGAACTCGGCGACGAAGCCACGGCCGATGTTACCACCGCCGAACTGAATAGCCTTCTTTCCCATGATGTAGTAAAGTATGACTTAGTAGAAGGGAGGTTGAGGTTGAGGTTGAGATAAGAGTAATTGGAAGACTGATCAAGTGAAGAAGTTGATCAGTAGTAGTATGAAAGGTGATTTGATATCGCGAAGAGAAGAGTGGTGTTGAAGACAAAGGAAGGTTGAGAATTGAAGAGGAGAGGATGGAGAGAAGAAGAGGGGGGAATGGAGGGGTATATAAAGTATAATGAGCGAAATAAGAGTGAATGAGGCAGTCACGATGGAAACAACGGGAAAGTGCAACGGTGAATGAAACCAAGACTTTTTTTCACGATGTTCGGGCCAATTCCAGTAAGTGGGGGAAAAAGACACACGCAGTGACTATGATCCAAGTAAAAGTGAACTAGACTAACTGACTATGACTTAATGGATCACGATGAGGCCCAATCCAAGCCCTTCCAAACAGGACCAGAGCCGGCCGTTCCAATGAGCGGCGATGACGCAGGCCCAAAGCGGATTGGCCATGCGGGCATTTTCAAGCCCTGCACGCCTCCTCCCCTTACTTTGCTTCTATCCCAATCAGACACGGCCACTGTCATGGTCCCGGTTGATTCCGCACCCACAGACAATCCTGTCCTTGTCGCATGTGCGACTGTGCCATCGTGAGGTTGACGACGCGATAAACTAATGGCTCGTTGGCCCGTTAGCCCGCATGGCCATCGACTAACTATAGTCTACGTACGACTACTGGTGCTACTGTAAGTCATGTCACAGATTCTCATCCCAGCCGGTTCTAATCCGTCTGTCTTCCTAACAAGTCATCTTCCCTGAACATTGTGTACCTATACTTCGACCGCTGACCTATAATGGGCTTGGCTGGTGGGTGCTGCTTGTTGGTCCTGTTCTCAGGTCTCCTACATCATTCCCCTGACTATCATCATCGTCCAACCGGTCGTTAACATCATCATCATGGAATCAAATCGAGTATCCACCAGGGGTTGACCCACCGCTGGTGTCAGGCCAGCGATAGAATGGATAATTCAAAGAGATTCTACTGTTAGCGCTGGACGATGCCGGGAACGAGCAGCGCCGGAGGGGCCAAGAGAGGCCATGCGCCCTCGTCATTCGACCCGAGCCCAAACCTACTCCACTGGTGACGTGACCGGTTCTTCCCCTCAAGCAACGCTACGCTGCACTGTACCACACTATCGTCGGTTACCCCCAGTGGATGCGATCAACAATGGACGGCCGTAGAATCCCTTTCATGGGGTTTCTGTGGGTCTTTATATCCGGCTCCCTCTTATCCCCAAGACAAACCCAATAGCTTCATGTTCTATAGCCTGGCCGGATGTATTCCTTGCATTTCGATTCATTTCTATCCGCACTATCTACCCTTTCCATCAAATACAGTCCCTATTCCTCTTCTTTCCATCACTGATTTCCCTCCTTTTCCGTCTCCACCCCGGGAGATGGTTCCGCACTGGATTTGACCGATTCATAGTCCGAGTGCATGAGGGACTTAGCTTGATCATCACAGTCACCTGCAAGGGTGCCTGTCTCTGCTCGGCTCCGGTCGACCAGCACCGTCAATAAACTGGTGATGCCTCCCGTCAACATCAACCCAGTGGCGGCCCAAGTCATTCCCAAAAATTGGGGTCCGTACTCGGCACTCACACCCATATCGCGGCCATGGTCATTGACGAGATCGACAAATTGAAACGCGATAACCGTCGCAATAATCGAGGAGATTCCGAGCATGATAAACCCCAGCTAGCACGTGGTTAGTGCTGGGATCATCCCAATCATATGTCTGGGGAGGGCTCTTTACCAGTAATGCCGCTAATTCCATGACGGACTGCCGTGGTCCGCGCCGAACCAGCCAATACAATCTGCCCACTATCGCCAAGCCTGCAGCCCCGGCTCCGATGCAGTAAAAAATCCCTATACTCCGGCTGGTCATGCTGAACGCATGGAAATCATCTGTAACGGCATCGGGCCATCCCAGGTTCGAAAGTGAAGTGGTGTTACCGGTTTCATTCAACAACACCACGGAGGGATTAAAGGCAAAGGGCAACGTGGCTTTGGAGCAATTTGAAAAACGTCTGTTGCCTGCCATGAGATCTCCTTCGCAATACGACATCACATAAATGGAGTAGAAGTCATGTATCCCCGTATTCCGGCTCTGTTCTGAAGAAAGAATCTATGCGAGGTATCTCAGCTGACTGACTAGACACTAACGTGCAACCAGAGAGGTCGATCGGGGCTCAAACTAACCGTGAATATATCGACACCTGGGAGCACCGTCAATTGTGTGCCCGCGAAGAGACATAATAAAGTGAGGATAAAAGCGATAAACGCTGTTATCGTGGGGAAGTAGTTCACCAAGCGACCCATGGTGAAAGATGATCTGCCTCTCTACTAAAATTGTTTGCGACAAAGCTTATTTGATGAATATTGCAGCATGATAACCATGAGGGGAATTGCCCGCTCGTAGACGACATGAGCGATAACTTAAAGGATCCCAACCGCCGTGCATTCATCATTCCTTGAGATGGCCGGTATACATCATCTTTGGGAGACAGCAATGATCCCAACTTCCTCTCCTCCTTCAAGCACGTGGCGGTTCCCCAGCTGCATTGGTCGCGGGTACTGCCAGAGATTCCAATTGGCCGACGCGAGCCGTTGGGAATGTGCATGCTCAATTTATCAGGGTTGGCATGTTCATTCTTGAGGGACCGCCCGCTTGAAGAATGCCCGCCTACCGGGAACATTCGAGCTGAAAGAATCAAAAAGGTCCAGATCCTGGATTTGTCATTTGCTTCCCTGAACAACGCTGTTGAATTGGCAGACTCTGGTTCGTAAGGCGGTTGTTCTTTGGACTCGACACCCTGAAAGAACAAATTCTACAGATGGCCCTTTTGGAAAAGTCGTCACCCTAGAAAAGTCTTCATCGTATTTCCCACCGAACGCCAATCTTACCTAAGTAGGAATTCGAGACACTGTAGTGACACTACATCCTCAACAACTTCAAAAACCTATGCCTCTAGGGGTGGCCTTAGGAGGAATCTCTTCGAGACTTGTTTCCACACACAGTGATTCTACCGGGCAGTGGCACAAGTCACCTTTGATCCATTTTTCTGTAGATACGCACTTTGCTATCTTCAGACCAAACGTAGAATCGAACCTCCCACCAACAACCACCTCATTTCGTATCACAAAGAAATCTCAGTCAACCCAAGAGAAGTCTTGGCTCTTGATGTTCAGCAGACTATAGTTCTAAGAATAACTAATGGTATATGCCACATTTTTCAAGTATGACGCCCTACGAATAGCTGCAGTTGGACATTTGAATAAAATAAGGACATTACTGCTACACCAATTAGGCTCTCTCTATACCAGACTTTGCTCATGCTACATTATCTGCCAATTTCAAAAGATAGGTCTGCTTTCTATGAGACAAAGCCCTATGTTTAATGCTCACCACCTTCTTAATATAGCAGTATACTATCTGAGGCAGTAGTTCAAATCTCGGCCAGTCAAATAGGCCTTTGCTTGATGCCCGTCTGCAAAGTTTACTTCATACGCACTACAGAGCTACTAGTCTCTGCTGGTGCTTCACTAAACTATGTTTAGGTAGCAGCGCTTGAGTCAAGGAGGTTTTAAAACTTCCCCATGAGCATCCGCATTCCTTTCGCGATCAGGTGGCCCCAACCCAGATCTTGACTTTCTCCAAGTTAACCTAAATTTGCTATTTTGGGGAATGTATCAGCCGTTGATTGAACTCAGATAGTAGATAATGGTTAGTCATGAAAACACTCATGCCATGAAAAAAAGCTATTTTTAATGCATCAGAGATTGACAATAGTATTTCCCAGCTACTTCACTCAAACAGGGATCTTCACTATTCTTCCATTGGCATTGGGAAGTCACTTGCCACCATTCCCATGGACGAGATTATTTCCCCCTATTTAAGACTTCCCATTGATCTCAATCTTCTACTTTCGCATCTATCCGCATCTCTCATCTTCTCTGATCAATAACTTAAGTGTCCTTTCATCATATGTATGCAAGCCAAAGAAGATATATATAATAGTACTGCACTCATATCAAAGCCCACTACGAAATAGAATGCTGGTTGTTGTGCCTCGCAATAAACACAGATAGTGTAATCCATTGATACCAAACACTCCTCCATCCGAAGCAGAGCCCCAGAAGCTATATCATAAGGCATCAACACATTGAAATCTACTACCATCAAGGCTAATGACACGGGATAAATACTATCACTGAACCACAATGACTAATGTGCTTCTTCCGTGGCCAAACAGCCATATTGATCTAAGTACGTACCGCATGTATATACATTCTCTCATGGCATGATGGTACTCGAGTGCCTACGCGACATACTACTAGTAGTAGAGCAACCCTGAGGACGAAATATACGGTTACGCTTCAGAATGACGACAGACCTGCTGTTGATTCAGCAGGAGATACTACTTACTTCCCTATTTAAAGCCAGTATGACATATATGGTAAGGAAACATCTAGTTCCATATACGAATATTCACCATATAATATTGTCTTCCAAAGTGGATTGTTCCATACTAATAATGAACAAAACCCTATTTTACGTTGACTACTCACGAGCGACTACTCAACTCGGCGTCGACGAGCTCCACATTTTAGATGGACTTGATAACATACATAGTCTAATTATAAAAACCTCTCCATACATTTCAGGATACAGGGCAAAGGTTCACAGTAGTCGACGAGTTTATAAGCTATTCATTACGAGTCCACGATGCGCACCAACAGCAGAAAAAAATATTTGATACCGATTAGATATGTTTACTTACTGCAGTTAACCCAGGCGTTAGGCAATGTGGACCTTGTTGGTTACTGTTAATCCCTATTTGTTTCTTTTTACGTATTGGCGGACGTGGATATTTACACAGATCGTCTCATGATTATGGATGTGGGAGGATTGGGGAGACTGAAGAGCTGATGATTGTACTTTCTCCGAATAGCTGTGCTGGTGGAAAGACATGGACCACTCAACTGATAGTTGATACATCTGGATCTGAATTGTTCAAGCAACACACACTGCGACTGGAGGACGGTAACGACATATTCAGTGCAGTGACAAGATACTACTAATTTTGAATGTGATAACAGAATCCAGGATCATCTACAATGATAGTATATAATATGGAGGATGTTGTGTTATCGCCGTTCCTTTTACGATTACATGAGAGGTAATTCTCTCTGAGGCATCTCCATGTATAGATCTGCTCATGACATTGATGGCTTCGGTACCCTCGTCACTGGTAAGACTAGATGACTGATAAGTCGCTATTCTCAGCAAACTCTCGCCGACGAGGTTGAGACATGCTGATTATGGGCAAATCTCCAAGTGTGGTGAGATTTGGGCCTGCAGGAGCAACGATGTCAAGATCGGTTTTACAGGGCATTCAGTCTTACCACGGGTCAGGGAGTACCAAGTTGCAGTCAACGGTTTAGAACCAGTAATAGCTGTTTAAATTTCCCATGATCCCGCGGGGGTGCAAGGAAAAGGGCGATTGAGTTGACTAAGGTTCCTTAATCATATCAGGTCGATGATCACCTTACTCGGTTCAGGGAAGGACGAGAACAGTATTATTTCTAGTTGAAGTTCGACTGTGCAGCTTAGTCTTCTTTCTTCCTTGATTGATATTTCCTCTGTTTTGCAGCTGTGGCTTCATTCGTACTCCTCATAGCTTAGATAGTTAGTGGATCAGACACTTATTCATTTATGATATATTATCTAACTGAAGCCCAGGTGAAGCGAAAAGCACATATGTAGAACCAAAAGGGTATCAGATACATTGCTGCTGTTGGGGTATGTAAAGAAAGCGAGCGTATATAGGATCGATCCTCGAAAGTATGCTGTAAGGGAATGGATCATTAAGGCTGGAAAGGATAGATATGTCCCATGAGTAGGGGTATATTATCAACATAAGGGTAGTACGCATATCAAGGCCGTTGACCGAGAGGTGAAGTGAAAAGCCTTAATTTGAATGACAGTAAGAAAAAAAAGAATCCGAAGACAGATCAAAATGCTACACCAACAGCTGAATGACGATACTCGTAATACTGGGTAAGCATCTCGTCATAAACTTCGGGCTCCTGGTGCTGTGGCTGTTCGGCCTCGTAGATTGTGGGATAGGTGTGTTCTTCTGTCACGGTTGGAAAGGTCTGTTTGGGTGAGAATGGGCTGCCAAGAGGAAGGTCAAAGTTCCGTGATTCAGTGCTCGATGCTTGCATGGTTGGGGCTACTGTCGTGCCGCTGGCGAGAGACGGGGTGGCCTTGTGGCCTCCGGTGAGGTTGGTAATGGTTGATGCGAGCGTAGAGCCGCTTAGCGTCCGCGACCGGATGCGAAATGGCCCCTTGTCGCTGGTTTTGATCGGGTTGGAGAAAAGGAAGTTTGGCTTGTTGGGCGTTTGAAAGAGCCACTGGGTAACACGTCCCGAGCGGGTTGGGGTCCGATTGGGGTTCTCCGATGGTGTGGTCGGAGGTCGGCTTTCGGAGGGAGTGGTAGGTGGGTGATACGTACTGCCTGAAGAAGGGGAATCCTCCTCAGTTGGAATAGAAGGTAAGGGCCTGTCCTGCAGGCTGGATTTGGTGGGAGTCCTAGGGACCGAGGATGTAGAGGCCTTGTGGGTGTCCCGGTGTAGCTCGTTCCTAGCCAGGGACGTGCTGCCACCCCTTAAATCCAGCCTGGGAGTGGTTGAAGGAACCGCACTTGGGGTCAAGCCAGTGACCGCAGAGCTACGTTGTGAAAAATGAGGGATTAAGGGACTGGTGACTGGAGGATTCTTCTCTAATAACTGGAGCTGTTCTTGGGTTGGCAATGAAGACCGACGGGAGCCTGACCCGACCGGCTTTCTCGCAAGCTGGAACGACGAAGATGGTCGGTGAGTTCGCGGTTGCGATATCCGGCCCATTTCGGTGGACGAGAGAGCCCGCGGGGGCCGTGAAATGACCTGCTTGCGGTCGTGCTCGAGAGGGAAGTCTTCAAACTTGGGAAGATCCGGGAGTCTGTTGCCTGGGGTATTGAAGCTCAACTCCAGGGGACGATATTCATCCAGTTCCGTCAGGAACATTGAGACTCTTCTAAACTCTGAGGGTCCACTGATCCTCACGGGAGCAGTTGACTTCCTCTTGAGCGACATGCTAGCTCGATTGGACGCTCGCGATGCCCGGGTCCTGCCCTCAACCACCCATGACTGTAGCGATGATACCCGCGGCTGAGGGCTTGGACTGGGCAAGTCATCGTAGCCGGTGAGGTTCATCGGAGGAACGAGATGAGGTTGAGTATGGCATACTTTCATTTCTCGTTCGACACCTGCAAGGGACAACAGTCAGTCCCCATGTCTGAGAGGGAGGAGTTGTGTAGTAGAAGAGAAAGTATGGGGAAAGCTATACCTTTTTGCTTCATAGCCTGTTGATGACGAAAGCTCTCATCGTCGCCCCTCCCGCTCAGGCAGAACAAACAGGAAGATATCCAGCCAGTGAATATGGAGCCTGCCTGCTCAATTGCCTGCATCATGGCTGCCAGCGCATCAGCAGTGATGCTCCATCGCCCAGTGGCCAGAGAGGGAGGACTGGGTGGGGACCGGAAGAAAAGGCAGGCAGCAAAGGCGCGAGCAGGCGATGCACGAGGCAGGTCAATGAAACACTAATACGAGACATCTGCCCAGCGGGGATGCAGGAGAATTAAATCGGAGGGTCCGGGAAGAGGGGGGGCCCATGAGGGCGCTGATATGAGAGAGAGTGTGTGTGAGAGAAAGAGAGGCTGGGAAGGTTAAAGTAAAACAAAGAAAGCGAGTAAATAAGCAGGAAGAT